CTGTATGAAGCCATGACGTCATAGCTTTTATGGCGTCATAATTGGGACCCAAAATGGCGCCTGGAAATGAGTTGTCGTAACTTTCCCACAGTCTACTCACTCATGTGCTCATCGTTGTATACCAACTATCGTTGAAAAAATCAATTTACGTCGATTTTTGAACATTTTAAAAGCCGTAGTTCGATTCGGCGCCCAAGAAAAGATATAAATATTCACCAAAAACATGGCAATCAATCAAGTTGAAGCGTTTTGGCGTAAAACATCTGTTTAGGCGAGATGACGTGTTTTTGGTGTACATGAGTAAGCAATAATGCTACCTGACTAAAATACCCCCCCCCCCTCTTGCATTCGCATGTAGTCATACATATGAGTCTCAAAATAATATAATATATTGTTAAATTATGCTCTTTAACTCCCCCGCCCCCGCCGCCGCCCCCTGCTCAATGAGTTATTTTACTTTTATTCTGCCATCTAAATAACTCTATACCCATGACTGGTGTACCAAGTTAAATCCACATCAAAACCCCATTTGTCGATAAGTGTATTTATAATAATCACTTGAACATCCTTGGAGAATTATATCTATTTAGTGAATATTAATACCAAAGAAAGAAAACAACTCTAAATTCTGAATATAAAGTCATCAAATTCTTTTACAGATCTTATTGTGGAAACCCAAAAGTTATATGTCACCATTGCCTTTTTAATCACATTTTTGTTTTTAATGTCAAATACCAAACCATCTCTAAAATTGTTTCATTATATAGAATGCAGTGTAATCCTAAACACTAAAGATTTGGCCTGAAAACTTGAAATAATATAGAGGGATCATCAATAATTAATAGTAACATTCGATAATTATAAAAATGTATTATTGTAGGATGAAATCAACCTTTATTTTTAAACATTTAGTGAACATTTCGAATGTTAATGCCTCTTTTATATAAAATGGTTTTATTAATTAATCAATTTTTGTTTTACAAATTTTTAATTTTCTCCATTTTGTTTGATTTTTATGCTATATTTATTTTATCTATCTATAATTATTTGCCTGTGCTTTATCTATTAGTTCCCATTCATATACTGTAGAAAATTTTGAATTCCTAATCTGTTAAAGGGACTATTTTTTCTTAAAAGTATTTCAATTTAGTGCATTATTAATGTCTTTAGTGCTTGGTTTGGTTGATATTAAATTTAGATATATTTAAAATGTATGTTTTGGGACCATGGGGTAGGGATATTGTGAACATATATATTATATTCTCAGTTCTTTTTAAGGTTAATTGTAAAAAAAAATTAAATAGCTTTTTTTGATGGGTGGGGGGATATTGTTATTATTGAACACAATTTTATTAGTATTGAAATTAACTTTGTTGATTAATATTCCAAATGTCTCGGTGCTTTATTTTTCAATTTAAATAGCTACTTTTTATTTAATAATTGGGAATGGGGGGGTGGGGGTATTTTTTCATTGTGTAACACAATTTTATTAGTATTGGAATTAACTTTGTTTATTAACCTTCGAGATGTCTGTATTGGTATTAATTAGGCATTAATTTATTTTTTCATATCATTTATTGAATAAATAATAATTTAACAAACAAAATTATTATGTCATTTATCAATAATTACAGTTTAAACAGAACGAATGGAAGGGGTTGCATTCGAAAGGTTGCTATACTGGATATAAATTGGTAAAATACAACACAAGTTTTTGTTATACACAAGTTTGTACGAAACAACACGAGTTTCAGAAATTTCAACACAAGTTTCAGAAATTTCAACACAAACAAGTTTCAGAAATTTCAACACAAACAAGTTTCAGAAATTTCAACACAAACAAGTTTCAGAAATTTCAACAGAAATTTCAACACAAACAAGTTTCAGAAATTTCAACACAAACAAGTTTCAGAAATTTCAACACAAATAATGTGTAGATTTTCACACAAGTTTTGTGTTGTTTCAACATTTAACACAAGTTTTGTGTTGTTTCAACATTTAACACAAGATTGTGTTGTTAAATAGAGACACCTAACTTGTGTTGAAAATAACACAAGTTTGTGTTGTTTCAACACAAGTTTTTGTTCAGTGTAGAGTGACTCTCGACAAAATGCATTAATCCATAGTCAATCCAGTACAAATTCGTGGTATTCAATTAAAAGTAAAGTAAAGTGTTATTAGATTTCGGGCACTTTACTTTGCCAACCAAATGAAATATTAATTTTTATTTTAACTTTACCCGTCTGCCAGGCAAAATAAGATTGCCCAAAAGTTAAGGGGCAGCCCACCCGGTTCCACCCGCCTGGATAATATGCCTATGGTTGCAAGGGTCAGGATTAGTTAACTGAACAGTCGATTTTTATTTAAACCCAATCTCACTTCCGTTGTGTCTATGACGGATTAGGTAATTTTTTAAAAAAAACGACGGGATAGAGTTTTTCTCACACTCTTTCCATGTGTCCCTTATCTATCAAATAATTCACTGCTATCAATTATGACAAGATGAAACAACCGGTTCCCATGCAAAATACGCCCACATTTTCCAAGAAATTTATGGGGAAGAAGTAATATCAATAGGACTCATTCTCTCATTCAAGATCATTTGATCCTTGACATATTTGTTAAGCTTCATAGCCCTTCTGGAGGGCCTAAAGATTCATACATATTTTAAATCTTGCGTGAACGCAGGGGCTATAGCTCTAGAATGTGAGGTCTGCTGATGTCGAGGTCGAAATCATCCAATAACATTTGATCCTTAAAGGGCCAACCCCGATAATTTTTTGGAGAATAAAACTGTTTAATTTTGTGTTAAAATCCCTTAAAATCATTTAACTACGGGCCGAGCATTTAACTCAATATTTGTGATACGTTTTCAAACAACTTAAACCCGTCAGTCTTCATTTGGAAATGGAGACCGGTGTACTAGACTTGTATCAAAAATAATGTGTAGGTGATATTTACCTTTCATTATCAAGTACAGCACATCATTCATTTATTCATTCATTCATTCACTACCATGTGCAATAATATCAATTACTTATCATATCATTATAATATAAAAAATTCAATTTAGAACGAATGCCATTGTTAAATATTGTAGATAAAATAGAATGTCACGATAAAAGTTCCTGGAGGGAAAATGATAAGAGAATAGGAAATGCTATACGAGAATACATAGATTTAAGAGATTGTTCACCATCTGAATATATAAATTAAATGAAATAATTAATCAACCCTGTAATAATTTAGAACTTGTATATATTTATATGTATTTATTTTTGATATTTATTGTACCTCGTGTACGAATAAAATTTATTTATTTATAGACTTCTCAAGGAACGGGAATAGATTATCAGATCACGCAACGAAAACACTGACCCGAAATCTTAAAACGGTTACGTGTCTGGATAAGGAGTTTTGGCTTTCACGTTCAAACGACTCAATATTTTGAGCCATGGTAAATACACCATTCATCTATATTTTGGCGCTTAAATTTCATACGTTCTTCGACTTTTATTTTTGAGGCTCTGTTCATATCGGGATAGTCAATTTAACACATAGTTTAAGTTTTATCTCATGAATCGGACAATAACTGTAGTCTCGAGAAGGTCCACAAACTTCATTTATATTTCACATTTTGCGTAAAAGGCAGGACGCCAATACGCACCAAAATCAAACTCATCCAAGAGCTATAGTTATACTCGTTTTAAGTTCATCTAAATCGGATAAAACCTTTGACTTCTAGATGGTCCACAACCTTGGTATTACATGTTTTTATACTATTTGCGTAATGGAGAGTGGCCATTTGACTGAAAGTTTCTGTCCGATTATGATGTAATAATGATTCATTTGAACAGTTTTGAAAATAAGATAACAATGGGGACCTCTAGAGGGTACACATGCTAAAAATGTGATTTTTCGAAAATTAGGGGTCATAATCCAGAAAGCTACGGTCCAATACGTGCCAATATCGAAAGGAACCCAGGCCTTTAGAATATATCGAAATTGGACGTAAATTCGAACCTTTGACCCACAACGTGGGTATTACATGCCTTTATGGGTAACGGCCATTTTCTCGGGCAGTTTCGTTCAGATTGTCACGAAATTTGAATTGAATCGTAATTATGGTGCCTCGGTGATATATTTGAACGGTTTTGAAATTCAAATAAAAAACTATGAGTTCTAGAGGGGTCCACAAGCTAAAAATGTCGAGATCTTTCGGCTATAAACATACATTGTCAGTTTACCTCTAGAGTGTCCACAACCTTGGAAATATTATGCATATATTTGTCAAGTTCCGCGTCGCAAGAAATTACCATCGAATGAGCATGCATGGTACGGGATTTATAAAAGAAATAAAATTTCATTTCATTACTGAGTAATTTCATTCGCCAAAAAGCGTCTCTAGATCCGCAGGAGCTTCCGGGGCCTAGGAAGCCCCTGGACCCTCTCCTAAAGTCGTGGGATGGTAGCCCCCTTCCCCTAATCAAGAATTGTTTCCGCCGGCCGTGGCAATATTTTGCCAATTGAATAATTGGTAGCGGAAATCTAGATATAAGGAATTGGATTTGGACGAAATACGTAGACACGCATTGGGTTCTTTAGACGATCAATTCATGATGTAGTGGTTTCCTGAGTCTGGTTAGACTTTTACAGGAGTGGAGTTGAGAGAAAACATGTTAAGTTTAAATATCAAAATGTAGACTATTGTTTACCTGATGTGATATAAAAACATATAGCAAAAAACTATTTTAGTTCCTGTTACATATTTGATTTCAGTATCGTGAGAAAACACCACGGTGAAGTCAATACGGATAGAGATACAACACTAGCCAGTCCACAGTCACACCAATCCCTTGATGACCAGGCCAAAACAAAGATATATGGCAGTGTTACAGGGTGAGCCAGCGTCCCACCCACTGGACCACCGTGGATCTTTAAAGTATTCACTAAATATCATGTGTTGTCAAAGATAATTCACAGAAAATTTGATTTCATACCTGTCGCATGTTGGATGTGGAACAGGTCGGTCACCTGCTTCTTTTTTTTTATACGATACAGATGTTTTAACTCCTGTACGCGTTGCGATCCATCAACTATTACACACTGATAGATTGCACTGATACTGACACAGATACGTATATCATTGTAAAAATCTATAGTCTAGATATATAGAGAAAATTTCACAATTTATTATAATAAACTAACAAGACGTTTCTTTACCGTGAGCGAAGTGACGTGACAGGGCGAGATTATGGCCATCTGTCGCGATTTTATTTCGCTCCGCCCTCGCATATAGTAAAAGCGAGTAAGGAGGCGTTTAGACCTGTCATAGAAACAATGATAAAATCTCTGTATTCATGTTATTGGGATGTGAATGACTTTTATATTTCTATTTGATCATCAGTCAATTTATATATAGCATGCTATAGATATATTGGTCAGGTAGGCATGCAATAACTATTAAAGATACATTCCCGCGTACAAACTGGGAGATTCGATGATATATTTGGACTAAAAACATATTCAAACTAATTAATTTATCATAATTTTGCTTCAAATTCTTTTCAAAACATTGTAACTGACAAGGAATACCCCGCTATAAAAATCGACCATGTTTGTGTGACGTGACTTACCTCTCTCGGTACCTTTAGCAACCCTTGCGAGATCGGAGGAGAATTCATTGCATACACAAGACGATGTTGTCTTTAATCGCTGACTGTTTATCTCAGAAAGTGTTGTACGTCTAAATCTTCATAAAGTTTATCAACATGTACATCAAGCGGTCAGTCTTCGCTGGCAACCTTCGACGTCACCCGTGCAGACATTCCTAATCGTCGGGCTGTCGATTAGGGGAACCCTTACATTTTTGTCCTGTATACTCTCTATGAGTGTTTTTCAGGGAATCCAGTACGTTTCTAGTAAGATTGGATATCTCTACTTTCCATATATACCAAAATTGCCATACTTTTATTGGAAATAACCAGCCGATAAATACCTTTCTGGGAACCTATCTTTAATATATGCATGTTATAACTACATCCCGAATCGCCATTTCTAGATTAACATATGGTTAAATTTATTTCAATGGTTCGCTTTATCAGTATTATACCGGTTGCCAAATGTCAGTTTGGCGGCCATCTTAAAAAATGGCCGTCGTTTGTTTGTTTTTTTTATTTGAAATAGTGCGAGTCGGGGAAGCCTTCATAAATCGTCAAAAGTTTCACCTATGGATATGTAATATAGCTCAAAAGGTTCATAATATAATTCTGCATCTGCGGGTATATGATATATGTTGTTTAATCAATACTATCAATTTTTTTTTTAAAAAAAAAGATTAATCTGAAAAATGCAACATTTTAGATTTTTTATTTTCATGTCAGTTCATAAGTTTACTAACAAATCGTGTTCAGACCCACATAAGCCAAATTATCTATACTGAGCGCGATGGAAAACGCATCACTTTTTTCCTAAATATTTTATTACTAGGTGGTTTTGTATGTATAATATTATGCAATACTATGAACTATTGTTTCACACAATGCTCCCAAACGCAAAAAATATCGGCACTTGTACACAAAAAAAATTGCACGAGCTGCACATGAAAAACCCAATATTCACGTGCAGCATTTTGTGTGAGCCATTTAAAAGCATGTTTTCAACTTAATGTGCAATACATGAACTGTGAAACGTCAATCTGTCGTAATTTGTTGTTGGACGTGTGAAGGAATCGAGCTAGAGATGCCTACTGAGCGCCATGGAAAACGCATCTCTTAGTTTTTCGTATAACAAAATGATCCTGTAAACATATCTTATTTATTTTGCTTCTTATTGTGAACAATATTCAAATGGGAACACATCAATAACAACACATTTGTACACTTATGGATGTTTAATCTATAATCAACGGTACAAAGTCAGAGGGGTCAAAACCAAAAGTACGACACAGATGACAGTAGCGCATGTGTCCTCCACGGGCTCTTACGCACGCTGTGCAGCGACGTCGCATGGAATTTACCAATGTTTGAAAGAAGGCCTGGGGCACACTGTTCCATTCTTTGACAATAGCAGCTTCTAAAGCAGCAATGGTGTGCATCTGTGGTTTCAATTTGTGTCGAGTGGAGTCTCTCTCTCTCTCTCTCTCTCTCAAATGCGTTACACCAAATTTGACAGTTGCAATTAGGTCATCATGTCATATAAATGCTGAATAGTGTCCTTATTGGTCAAGGCTATTGCATACATACATGGAAAAATGAACGAATACGTCAATACGGCATGATTAGTACAAAATTAATTAATTCCCAATGAATTGAAATGAGGTTTGACGTCCTATTGTTCTGCTACGACTGGGCTAATGAAGACGGGCACACGAGGGAAATTTTGCCCGGGCGGCGGCGCTATACGGCCTATTCTTGTATCGAATTTCAACTGCTAAGGGGTCTTTTACCTGCACGCCAATGGGTGGGCCTTTGAGTTTTAGTCGCACCCGAACGACTCAAGCGCTGTCTTTGTTAGGCCCTCCGTTCTGCACCATTTACAGGGGGAAACCACGCCTGAAAATACCGATGAACATTCTCGGCCGACAGTGTCTTACTCGCATAGCCACCGTGGGTCCCATGGCGACAGGGAAATGAAGTGTGGTTTAACGTCCTACTGTTCTGCTTCGACTAGACTAATGAAGACGGACATACGCCGTACGGTGTACTATGAATTTGGGTTTAATTTTATTTCAAAAATTCGCTTGCGCGTAGGGGTATTTTGCAGTGGGAGGAAACCGGAGGACCTGGAGAAAACCCACGAGGTTGGACAAGATGTAAGTGAACCGGGGCGGTCTGATGGTTCTGAAAACAAATTTACAAAATTAGAAATTATTTTACAAAATTAGAAATTATTTTACAAAATCAGAAATTATTTTACAAAATTAAAAATAAAAATTACAAATTAAAAATTAAAATTACAAAATTGAAAATTAAAATTACAAAATTGAAAATTATTGTACAAAATTGAAAATTATTGTACAAAATTGAAAATTATTGTACAAAATCGAAAATTAAAAATAGAAATTCGAAATTACTTTTTTTCAAAATTAAAAATTGAAAATAAAAATAGGAAAAGAAATAAACAAAAATAGTTCGTATTTGAGCTTCCGTAAAGGACTAATCAAATACATGACGTAAATATGTAGGTATTGTGGTCAGAAGTCAGTTTACTGCCACTGGACATTATATTTACTAACTCTACATGCCAAGACTAAAATTGCCAATGTATGAAATCTGAGCTTTTGTATCTTTATTAATTTCTCAGTTGAAATGGAGTTTATCAGGACTAATATATTGTGAAATTTTATTTCGCCACAACAAAACGATATGTATAAGGGAGACCGGGGCACATTGAACATATGGGTACGTTGAACCACCATTGATATTTTAATACTAGGTAACCCAAGACTACACAGAAGTGAGATAACTTCTTTCTTAGACCTATTTCTCCGTCAATAAGCAGTAGCAGCATGCTTTCAATTATTTTTTAGGCAATGATTTTTTTTCAAAAGAGTGCTTAAGTGAAAATTCACTAACATAAATACATGTTAACTGCTTATCCTGGGAAATTCTTGTACTGCAACCAATTCATATGTCTAATCTTCAATCCAATTAAACAAGAGCTTGATCCATTTTGATTTTTTTTTTAAATTTTGATCATAAAACTGTGATGTAGCAGATTGAATTGAACGTTTAACCACTGGTTCAATGTACCCAAGTGCATTATAGTCTAATTTGATAATTTGTAATGTCTTTGAAAATAAAAACAATAGATTTAGAATATCAGCTGGTCCAACAAGGCCTATCGTATTTAAGGAATTAGGCTAAAACGAACGATCAAAGCCTACCTGATTGCTTGTCAAGTGATTGGATTCGTGGATAGGCCTACATACATGTAGCACTAGTTTTCTTTGTGATGCAGGCATCAAGCTGGAAATAAATAATAAAAACAATACAACTCCAGCTGACTGGTGTTAGATGATTTATCAAAAGAAAAGTGCCAAAAGTAAACACGACTTTAAAATTGTAGCCTAGATCCAACACACAATGAATAGTGATGGTCTTAACACCCAACCCTGCGTGACGACCATATCTGAACTTAAAGTTATGGTGACCCAAAAAGTGAACAGTACAGGTAGACTACATTAGGCCTGTAGATACATTCCATCTTTTAAGTTTTATCAAGGCCAAGTCTAAGTGAGCCCACTCGGCATTAGGTCTAGGCCTATCATTCTGGCTAAAATAAATCGCGCATAAGACTTATCCATACTCAATTATTGATTTAGTTTATTTTCTTAAAATTCTTTCGGTATTCGAAACAATAATAATTTTACTTACCATCCGTTCTCCATACTGTAGATCGATGGTGCCATTTTCCACAACCAAAAATGCAAACCAAAAGTCCCGAAAGTTTCCGGGTAGAGAGGAGGTTGACACCAAAGCCCTGTATTAGGGAAAGTTACGACAACTCATTTACAGGCGCCATTTTGGGTCCCAACTAGGACGCCATAAAAACTATGACGTCATGGCGTCATATAGCTTTACTTAAAACGTTTTATGTTTGTCTTGGTATAACGTTTTACGAGTCCTAAACAAATTGCAAAAGAAACCAATACAGTTTGGTTCAATGATAAATATGTCAGACAAAATCATACTCAAAATCGGCCAAGGCAAAATAACACGATTAACAGAATTAAATTTGGCGTTCTTCAGGAATTATCGGAGAGCGATAACTTGTACTGAGTGTCTTTCAATGGTGGAAGGATAAATAATTCTTTTTAAATTCCTCAAACACAGAGTGATTATGCAAGCGAAATGTGTCGAATAATCGAATTTGACAAATATCAATTTAAAAAATGTATTTGTCATTTGGTGGCGGGCATTTCTTTCAAAATGACTGCCAAATTTGGTAATATAATACCATTTTAAAAAAAAATGGAAAAAAAAAAGAAAAAAAAAAGAAACAACATTAATTTGGTAATAAAAGGGCAGAGATAATCTAAAAAATTTAATTTCTAGAATTCCTGATGGTAGAAATTTAAAATGGCCGGAAAAATGAAATCCAAAATGGTGGTATTTTAATTAATCGTCATATCTTTCCGTTGGGTAATATGTGGTATATTAATCCCGAAATGAATATAATGTTAACGCGCTTTAAACATCTAGATGCAATAGACTTGGTGGTG